CTGGACCTGAGCTGTGGCCTCCAGCCCAGCTATCCCTCTCCTGCAGACTTGGCTTCCCCCACAGCCATTTCTCTGTTCTAATGGAGTGTTGCACAGCCTTTAGGCAATTGGAAACGTTTGTAGTAAGAACCAAGGACCGGTTTTCTCTCTGACATCTATGAATGCCTTAACCTCCTTTATTCTACATTCTTAAGTCCTAGTTAAGTATTCTTTTGAGGAGGAGCAGGGGAAGGGGCAGAGAATCCCAAGCAGGCTCTGCTCTGGCAGCTCAGCCCACCTCAGCCCAATGCAGAGGATCATGACCTGAGCTGAAACCAAGAGTTCACATGCTTAACCGACTAAGCCACCCAGGCACTGCAGTGCCCTATTAGCCTTACATCTCTCAACGGTGAAACAGTTCAATGAAATAAGAAATAACCAGGAAAAAATAAGAATTACAAAATAAAAACACACTTTGCCATGGTAAAAGTAAATTCTAACACAGCTATAGGACCAAAAACAATTTTTTTTTAAAAAATCAGTTCCTCCTTTAAGTCAAAACATACAGCTATTGAATAGTTATGATATGAGTTAACATCCCCTGTGTAAAATTATAACGGTCTAATTAGACATGGAAAATACACCATGAAGGTTTTGACTTTTCAAATGCAGTATCTTTAAGCAACTACAGGATTACTTTTTTGACAAAGATAGACAATTTGATGTAGGTGTTTGCCCAACTTAAAAAGTGTATTTCTTCTCTAGGTACTGAGAATGAAAATTAAGCCAATTAGGTTAAAATAAATAAGCCCAGTAGAAAACCAAAAATGTACACCTTTCAATAAATAGCCTTCTATAGCTCACCTCTGATGACCTAAATGCCAATTAATTTTTTTTGGTCCAACTACAAATTTCGTTATTATCAATACACATGTAAAAGAATGAATTAATAAAGGATGATGCAGTTTAAACCTTATAAATTACAAATGGGGCCATATGACTAATTAATCTAGATCAAAAGCAAATGGCTAACTACCTCACCTTCAAAACTTTGTTCAAATGTTACCTGCTCAAAGAAGCCTTGCCAACCCATTTAAAACTGCATCCCACTTCCTTTCCCCACATTCCCATATTATACCCTTAATCTGCTCCCCTCTAATCCCCCATAGCTCCTACCTAATAGCAGATCTAGTGTGCTAATTTAATGTCTCTTGTTTATTGTCTGGTTCATTACATTAAATTGTAAACACCAGAAAAGCAGCTATCTTTGTTTTATTCACTGGCATATCCCAAGCACTTATAACTGCCTGTACGTAGATTTTCAATAATTTTATGTGTTCAATGATGTCAAAGTTTTTAGGCTCTTCTAAGAAATATTTTAAAAGACGAGTATCTTGCAAATATTTAAGTGGAACATGATGAAAAATTACACTATATTGCAGCATAATTTCCAAGTTGCAATGCCTTCAGAGAAAGAAGCAATGAAAGTACTAAGCTGAAAATTACTAAAATAAGTTTTTATTCACATTTAATCCTGTATCCAAAGAAACTGTAATGTTATATTATTTAGGATTGGGAATGGGGTAACAGAATTGTAAACCCATTATTTTTTTAAATAGGGAAGAAAATGTGGGAGTAGAAGAGATATGGGTTAGCCAGTGATAATTCCCAATAGTGCCATGAAATTATATAAAAGTTAACAAAGATAGCTTGGTCATTGGCTAACAACTAATAAAAAATACTTTTAGATGAATAAGGGAGATTAACAACAACAAAAGCTTCAGAACAAGTTTCTCAGAACTTTCATTCCTCTACTTAGTAACTGAGTCTTTGAAAGTATGAGCACAATAGATAAACCATGTATCCTCATTAGTGTTAACAGTTACTGTTTTCAAAGCATCTTCCCATATATTATTTCATTAAGTCCTCAGAGAAACCAAATTCAAACTCAAGTATAAATAATCAGGTAGCTAACAAAAGCACTTAATAACGTATTCACTTGACAGTAAGTGCAACTTTTCCCTTGAAAATCCCCCACAGTGTTTGACAAAGAAACCATTCTATAGAAGAGCCACCTTCTTGGCAATGGAAACTAATACAAGTCTTCTGAAGAGTAATATGGCACAGCTAGCAAGAGCCATAAAAATCTTGAAGCCCTTTGACCTAGTAAAAACCACTCCTGGGAACTTTCTCTAAGGCAATAATTAGACTGAAGCCAAAAGCTATTAGTATAAAGATGTTTACTGCACCACTATCTAGCATAGTAAAGGTGGAAACCCAAATTCCAACAATAGGAGAATGGTTAACCAAAAACCCAAAAAAAGTTTGTAACACAATGCTAAGGAGAAAAAAACAACACAAATAACATACATAATCGCTAAAGCCACATAAACATGAAAATGTAAAAGGCAAAAATAAGTATTAGATTAATGCAGACTTTAATATCATGGGTATGTTGTTCTAATATAAAACCACCTTCTAAAACATACATGACAATTTAAGACAGAATAAAATTTTGAAAGCCATGAAAATCCACTATTCAAGTTAAAAAAAAAAAAGTCAAATATGATGAAATGTTATTTAAACACGACATGTGAATTTCTAGACATTCAAGAATATTTTACTACTTTTCAACATGTCAAACCCAAAGCTGCATTTTCTTTCCTCACCTTTGGCCCCAGATACGTATTTTAACTGCTGATACACACAAACATAATGTGAGGAGACTCTAGAAATTGTAATTAATTTACAAAGAACCCAGGAACAATAGTTCAAAATCAAAAGGAATTCTACAAGTACCTTTAAAATCCTGCATAAGAATAAAAACATCTCTTACCTATCAAAATGAGTTAAGGGCCAGAATCTATGTCTCAAATAAAAGAACTTAAAGCAAGGAAGAATTTAAATTAACCTTGGATGTTCGTCAAGCCTCAAGAAACAGAAAAAGATCTTTGGTACTAAAACATTCCATATTTTTTTGATCACTTAAGCCACTCCGGAACAAATTCTTTATTATTAAATTTTTAAGCCTAAGGAGAGCTGATGCAACTTAAAAGCGTAAGTATTATTTTTCAATTATTTGAACAAGCTGAATATATCTGCCAAATTTCTGAGACCTAAGAAGAAAAAAAAGATACCCTTTTCAATAAAAATTATGTACAAAATTTTTCCGTTTTTCACCACGGATGCCAGTGAAAAAGGGAAACGGAATTACAGAATCCTAAGTGAAAGAGCTGGGAAAATAAGCACTTCATCTGAACTAGCTGGACTAGGTTAACGTTTGTGGGTGGTTCAGAGAAGGGGCGACTCCGGGTGTGTGGGTAGGGTAGAAGTAAGAAAACCAATGTTGGCCCTTCCCCCTCCCTAGAAGGAAGCACAATTCCTTAAAAATCAGCTCTGATTCATCTTGACGGATAACTTCTCCTATCATAAATGAGAATTCTTTGGAAATAGATTGCTGAAAACCTGTTTTCAAAAAGAAAACTCAGTGCGTGAAATTTAAAAAAAAAAAAAAAAATCCTCTTACCCCACCTTCTAAAGCCCAGGATGTCTGTCTAGGGAGGACCCTCGTCGTCGAATCTGCCAACCCCGCCTAGGCCTAACGAAGGCACGGTAGTGCCGGCAACACGGATGGGCTCGGGGCACAAGGGAAATGGTCTTGCGTGCCCTTGGTGAGCTCTGGCGGCACTCCCCAAGTTAAGGACACTGGCCACAATGGAATGGAGTCTATTGACATTTGCTGCCCCGTTTGAACACTAAGCATTTTTTCTTAGTTCGTGAAACACGAACTGACAACCACCCCCCCCCCCCACACACACACCCCCAACAGGCCTTCCCGCACAAACACACCCTCCGGAGTCAGACCCGGTTAACTGGGACAACACAGAGATCCTAGTCCCTACCACAAACCTAGGTGCATGGTGGGGGAAAGGGGGAGACGACGCAAGTAAACACCTGCATTTCTGCCTTTAGGAACCCCACCACGTCCCCAGCTGCAATCCCTCTCCGCTCGAAATTTCAAAAATTGGGGTGAGGGTTGGGAAAAATGCACCGTGCCCGCTCCCTGCCACCCACCACCATCCCCTTATGTCCCCAATCTGGCCTGGACTTCTGACGCACGCCTAGGTCCGGCCCTCGCCCACCACTATTCAAAGGCGCCTTCTCCTCGGCGGCCTCGAAACAGCAATGCGGATCGGCCACCACCCGCGGCGGAGAGGCCTTGCAGGGGAAGGAGGGAGGCCGGGAGGGGGCCGGGCACTCCCCCACCCCTTCCTCAGGTGGGGGAGGGCGGAACGCTGCGGGAGACTGCACGGAGCCCGACGATTCCAGAGGCGTCCGGGAGCCCCCAACGCCGTGTTAGATTTAAATGCGGAGGGGTGCGGGGGGGCCACTACCGCCTCAATCCGGTTCTTCGACCTTTCCCAGGGCAGAGAGTGGGGGTGCTTAGGGGCGCTTCACAGACCCTACTGATTCCAGATGAGCCCCGTGGCTACCCCTTTAACGGACAGGGGGGACGCTGCCCTAACTTTCCCCCCTCCCTCGTTATTCCCCAATGGGGGAGTTGGCAAGTTTCGAGAGACTGAACCAAAACCTAAAGACCATTCCACGTTAATATTTAAACCGCGGGGTGGGGGCGCTGCCCAAGCATCCCCTCCATGTTGGGGTTAAAGGAGGAACAGAGACTGACAAATGCTGAGACCTGTGAATCCCTCCCAAACACTTAAATGGAGAGGGGGAGGCTGCCCAGTCCTTCCATCTTGACCGTTTGGGGGAGGGGATGGGGATGTTGCTGGAGACTGGACACGACCTGACATTCCTGGAGGGATCCCGCAGCGGCCCCCACCCAAAACCCCGGGCTCCAGAGGGGAGTGGGAGCCCCACCCCCACTGCGGGCCCCCAGCCCACCCCACCAAGCCAGGCCGGTCACGGGGCGGGGACGACGGTGTGGGCCGCGGGGGAGGGGACGCGAGGCCCAGGCTCGTCCAGGCCCGGAGCGGAGGGGGCTGGGGCGCGACACCCACCTGCCCAGGCCGGGCCGCCCGCCGCCTGCGCTCGCCGCCGCCACCGAGGAGGAGGAAGCCACTGCCGAAGACGACGAGATTGAGGACGGCGACGGCGCGGTGGCGGGCGACGTGAGAAGGCCGCCGCTGCCGCCGGGCTTACGGGCATTGGCAGCCGCGGGCGGCTGCTGCTGCTGCTGCTGCTGTTGCTGCTGGGGCTTCAGCGACATGGTGAGAGGCCCATACACCGGCCCGCACGCCGGGCGGGGACAGCCGGGAGCCGGGCGCGCCGAAGAGACGCCGGAGCGCGGCGGGGGCGGGCGGGCGCCGAGCGGGGAGGCGCGCGAGGGCGCGGGCGGAGGGGG